GATAAGTCAAAGGTCCTGCTCGACCATTGTTGGCTTCTCTTGGAAGCATGGAGGAAATGATTCCTCCGTGTTGACCCTCCTCTTTATAGACTGGACACTGGCTCAAGTCCATCTGGTGGGGTCTCCTTGGCTTCCTTGATCAAGAGGCCAGATGACCCACCACCATTACAGGACATTTTGCGCGATGTTCATAGTCCCTGGGAACTTATCGACCCAGGAGGGCAAGGAGCAAAAAGTGTCCTTTGAATCCCTCTGACCCAATTAGTATAGATCTCAAGGTATGTCTGTTAAACATCCAAGAAGGTTAGTTCCACCATTCTGGCATTTTTAATTACTGCGTGTCTTGCAGATAAATCTTGGGTAAATTTTAAAATATTTTATTTATTATTTTTATTTTATGTGTATGAGTGTATTGCCTGCCTGTGTATAAGGGCATCTGTGTTGTAAAATGCCCAAAGAGTTCAGAAGAGGACATCAGATTCCCTGGAACTGGAGTTACGGTTGGTTGTTAGCCTTCATGTAGGTGCTGGGAATAGAACCTAGGTCCTCTGCAGAACAGCCAGTGCTCTTAATCACTGAGCCATCTCTCCAACCCCAAAGATTTGCTTTTTATTATTGTTAATTATGTGTGTGAGTGTATGTCTGTATGTGAATATGTACACGTGAGTGCAAGTGCCCACAGGCCAGAGGCCTGTAGTTATAGGTGTTGTGAGCTACCAGATATGGGTGTTGAGAACCAAACTTAGGTCCTCTGGATGAGCAGTACATGCTCTTAATGGCTGAGCCACCTCCCAGCCCCAAACTACTATGGATTTTTGTTGTTATTGTTCTTGGTTTTTGTTTTTGTGAGAGTCTCAGGTAGTCAAGCTGGTCTTGAACTTGTTATATAGCTAAGGATGACTTTGAACTTCTGATCTTCCTGCTTCTACCTATCAAGTGCTGGGATTACAGGTGTGCACTGTCACACCCAGTTAATGCAGTACTGAGGATCCAGCTCAGGGCCTCATGTTTGATAGGTGAATCTGATGTTCACTCTATCAAGTGAACCACAAGCCAGTCCTGAAATATATACATCTTGAGTCTTAAATGCTCTGATAAATAAATTAAACTGAGCGTTTGTTATCTTGGTGTTAATCTAACACTGGAATGTGGGTTCAATAGGAGATTCCATTATTATTGACTAAATATCATTAAGATAAGCCCAATAATCCCTTTCTAATACAAAAATACAGCTGAGCAATGAACTGGCTTGATTTATCATTCCTTATAAAATTAAAATAGAGACTACTAGATGAAAGAGTGCAAAATCCTTAAGAAGGTTCTCTCTCTCTTTTTTTTTTTTTTTTTTTTTTTGGTCTTTTTGAGACAAGGTCTCCCTGTAGCCCCAGCTGTCCTGGAACTCACTATGTAGACCAGGCTGGCCTTGAACTCACAGAGCTCCGCCTACCTCTGCCTCCCAAGTGCTGGGACTAAAGGTGTGTGCCACCATGCCTGGCAAAGGTTCTCTTTTTAACAAATGCTCCTCACCACAGCTCTACCCCAGGTCAATTTAGCTGCCTTCCTATGCATTGTGTTGTGTTGTGGTGTGGTGTGGTGTGGTAGTGTATTGTGTTGTGTTATATTGTGTTTCTTCATATTTTATCCATGGTCCAAGTCAACCAAACTCCTTTAGAACAGGTAGGAAGTTGTATTCATCTTTTAATTGAATTTTTGTGAGTTTCATACAATATAATTTGATGGTATTTAGATCCCCCTCATCCATACCTCCCCTTACTCTCCCCACCCAATTTAATGTACTGTATTTCATATATATGTATATATATATGTATATGAATATCGATGACTATCAGTGAATGGCCTGAATATCAATGTTAGGTATGGACTCCACCCTATGAAGTAGAACTTAAATCCAGTTCAAATGTGGTTGGTTACTCCCACAATAGTCATGCCACTATTGCACTGGTGGCCATATCTTGCCAAACTGTAGTTCACAGAATTCACAGATATTTAAGGTTGATGAATATTTTTTTCCTTCTAGTAGCATGAATAGCACCTTCTAGCACTATGAAAGCTAGCCAGTAGAGATGAGGCTTTGAAGTCAGTATCTATTTGATTTCTCCTAGTTTGCTCTACAGCTCTTACATGTAGTATCTTCAGCAGTAGGGCCTTACTGTCGAGTTCTAGTGGATAACTAAGAGCAGAGACAATGGCTAGTAGTGTTTGAGGTCTATGGAACTCCTGGTCAACAGCTTCAAGAGAGGGAGTCCATCCCTGGCATTGCAGTTTTATTTTGTTAGCCTATGATGTGTAGTAGGGGCAATGTCCCCCTGTTGTAAGGTAGCTACTTTTAATCTCTTTTTATAATGTATATGTATATACTTGCTTTTATGGTTATATACTTTAAGAAGCTTCTATAATGGTAGGTTTCCATGTAGCTTTTTCTAAAGGCCTTTAGTGTTACATATTCCTCACTATACAGCCTTCCTGTGCCCTGCTCTCACATTCCCCACCCATTTAACTCTTCCTACTTTATTATTCCCTTTCCCCCTTTATGTCACTACATTCTATCTCCACTCCCAGATCTCCTTCCGCCCCCTCACACCCACCCCATTGTGGACATTTGTTAGTTTCCTGACTTCTCTGAATTTTCAAATTGAAACGTGTGTATCTATAGGATTTCAAAGCTAGCATCCTTCTGTGAGAGAGAACATGTGACATTTGTCTTTCTTAGTGTGGGTTACCTCACTCATGATGATTGTTTCTGTCCATTTACCTGTAAATTTAATAATTTAATTTTTAAGAGCTGAATAATATTCCATTGTATATATATACCATACCTTCATTGTCCATTTGTTAATTGAACATCTAAGTTGTTTCCGACTTATGGCTGTTATGAAAAGCCTGAATGAACAGGTATTTCAGCAGTAGTGTACAGAGTCTTTTGGGTATATTTGCAAGAGTGATATGAGTGGATTGTATGGTAGATCAAGTTTGGACTTTTTGAGGAACCTCCATACTGATTTCCACAGTGGCTGTACAAATTTGCTCTGCCACCAGCAGTGAATAAG